ACACACACACACACACACACACACACACACACACACACACACACACATATATCTCACAATGGAGGACATTCGTTTACAGGAGCATCTGTAGACCAGTCAAAAAAATAAAAGTCATCTTCTACAATGCAGTCCTGACCACATCTCGTGCAGCAGAGGGAATGAGAAATGCACTGAAACACAGCAGGACCCCCTCCATGGCCTCACATTCAGATGCTCAGTTACATTCAGGTACTTCTCGTTACCTCTTGAGGAAAACAAAAGGAGAAGAGGGGGGAAAAACTGCACAGCGACAATGAGAACCACGGCGGTATTGATCGATCAAGATGCTGAAATGGAAATAGTGCAGGCAGCTCAGAATGGCATGCAGTGTGGAGGAGGCGCCAAGATGCAAGGTGGTGGTGGTGGTGGTGGTGGTGTGGCCTTAATCCCGGACACCGCTATGAAGAAGTCAGCGCAGTGGAAGAAAAACAACACATTTGTCAACGTACAACAAAGGACACTCTCTATTGACTACATGGGAGGCAAAGTTATTGGTCATGACAACTCGATGTGCACTTCGAGCAAATGACATTCATCATTTGGCACTGGGGCATGGCAAATGCACGCACGCACACACACACACACACACACACACACACACACACACACATACACACACACACACTCATTCATTCATTCTGCTCAAAGATTTGCGGGGGTTCCCCTCTTTTCCTTCAGGGCAGAACAAACCCGATGTGACCGAGAGTGTAATCTATGGGTGGTGTGTTAGGAAAGCCATCTATATTTTCCAAATTGACAAAGTAGCTTTGTGAGATTAATTGGGTTTTCAGCCTGGATCAATAGTCTGACTTTGGCTCTGTGTCTGAATACAGTGGGGCTGATCTCTGCGCCTGGATGCTGATCCAGCTTCTGCTTTTAAAATCGATCCCGCTCTCAGTGTGGGATGTTATGGCGTTGCATACAGTGCAGCCCGTGCTTTCATAGAGGGAGAGGGCTGGAGGTAAAACACAGGAGGTAATAGCCTGCCTGTGTGTCAAAGGTCAGATTGGACTGTATACTGTAATGTAGCAGTGAAAGGTCTAAAAACATAAAACTAGAAGACTTCCATACACAATGCTTCACTTAAATATGACCTTAATAAGGCCATTTGTCCACGCAGACACTGCAGGCTGTGTATGGGAAGAGCCTACTAAGGGACTACTTGAACGTCTGCTTTGGCGACTTAGTGTTGGTTCTTTTGGACAAAGCTTACTTCTTTTTCAACCTGCGGTCCTTCTCGGCCTGAGTTCCCAGCTTGCTCAGCCCCATGTCCTGGCCCGCCATGTCGTCCATCATGGTCGCTGAGAGAAGAGGAGGAACACGGGTTATCAGTGATTACAACCTGAAATTAAATTGCAGAGCTGCTTTGCTGGTAAACTAGGCCATTACAAACTTTATTTTAAATTAAAGATGAGAAACGATTCATTCAACGTCGTTCACAACCGACACGATACATGTGATGCATAAAGGTGTGTAGGAGCATCTGGTTTCTGTCCAAGTATGCATAAACATGGTCTTACGTGGTATTACTACAAGTATTAGTGGCAGTAACACCATCCTGAGTTTCAGGTGTCTAAGTGCCCCAAAGAGACATTCCTACCCTAACACAACACAAATTTGGGATGTTGGTATCAAACGAAGTCTGAAGTGAGAGATCATCTTCTTGCATCAGTAATGTTGAAACATGTCTCCAGTGCCCACCTTGTGGATCTAACATGACATGTCTGTGTGCCATATGTGCCATCCTGCCCTTCTCCTTCTTGCCAAAAAGCCGTCCGATGGAGGATTTGATGCCCTTCTTCTTCGGATGCTTGTGGAGGGAGTCCTGGCTGCTGGCTACACTGCTCAGCGCGCTGGCCTCTGCCTCCAGAGACGACACGATCCTGTGGACACAAACACGAGTAAAGCTTCCAGGTACACTTCAGTTTCATGAGATTATTTCTCCAAAAGGTCAGTTTCTTTTTTAGATTTTCATGAGCAACCTTGTGAAAACATTTGGATAAATGAGAATAGGTAGTTTCTAGAAGCGGGCTCACTCTTACACACCTCAATGTACCTCTGACCTTATGTCTTTGCTATGCTCTGTTCCTTTTTTTCTGTGCAGTAGTCTCAAAGTATTTGCTGCTTTCCACCAACTGCACTTTTGAAGCTCATTCATCCACGCCAATAACTGACGGCTCATCTAATATAGCTGCTGCTGCTGCTTTAAGTTTGAAAAAGTACCCAGATTATCTCAAGTGTGCACGGCAAAATTGCAGCGTAATTGGAAGCTTCGAAAATAAACCACCTCAAAACAGACAGCGCTAAGATGAGTGCACCATCTGAAAACCAGCACATCAAGCAAACATCTTACAAGAAAGAAATGCATCCGAGACAGAGAGGCAAATCAACTAAAAACTCAAATTAGAAGCAGTCCAAACATTCAACAGGAAGTAAACAACAGGGAAACGACTCCACCGGCGAGATTACGCCCGTCTTTAGGAAATGCTGTGCACAGCCGACACCTACCCTCGTGAGTCATTGTGCGAGGAGGCGGGCAGTGTGTGTGTCATTCGGACGCTGCGTGGCGTTGCAGGGGGCGACGTCTCACACTTGATGGTGGCCTTGTCCTCGCGGCCGTCCTCGTCCACCGCCGCTATCTGAGGAGACGAGGGCAGAGAAAGGGACATTAGACCCTCGGAGACTAATAAATCAGGCATCTATAGCAACCTTATCATTCAATTACACCGTGTGTACCTTTCTCCTGTGTTTCCTCAGATCGCTGGGCTGTTGGGCAGAGAAGAGACAAAAGGCCAATCGTCAATATCCCCGTGTTGAAGCAGGGACAACAAACATCTCCACTCTGGTGATAAATTAAAGACTATTGGCTCATTCATATTATCATCATACCCAATATCAGATCATCAGTTCACAGATCAATACAGAGGAGGGGATTGGAAAATCAAAGCCTCGATGTAAAGGACACACTTCTCTTGTTCTGCAGGATTATAGGGGAATATTTGAATATTTCTATTTTATCAGTTCTCAAAAACTCTCTTTGATGTGCACATCTGGAGTGTTTGAGCCTCCGGTCAGCGTGGAGAGCGTTCGAGAAGAACTGAGCTGTAAAACATATTACTGTCTATTCTTGGAGAAACTGCAAGCCATCCGCTTTGACATCTGGGTTGCATGATGACAGCTGAGAAGTTTCTGTCACCGCTTTCTCTGCACGCAAATTTAATGCAGCAAACCTTAAAAGATTCATGTCTTCTCGAGCTATAGGGCTTAACGTGCAGAGATACTCGGGGCTGAACAGCTGGCTCACCTTCAGGTCCTGTGCTTCCTTATTTCTTTATACAGAAATGATGGTTACCACTGAACAGCCATCAACATACGGCATTCTTTGCACGAGAGAGTGAGACATATTCCATATATACGATACGCTCTCTAAAAATAAATCTTAAATTCCTGAGACTAGACACTCAGACTTAGCATATACTACAACTCAAATAAAATGTGTGTGACGCGAGGACATCAAATCCATTATGGCCTAAAAAGACATTTCTGGCCGTCAATCACAGCACCACGGTGGTTTTTGCAATTCGCAGCCTCATAGAAAAACATGTCACATTTCACACTAGCTGCTGCTCTTGTAATAAGACGGTCATCAGTCATTCCGTCTGTGCGATATCTCAGACACCGCTTGTCTGTACGAGTTTGAACCCGGTGACATAACACATCGTGATACCGTGTTCTAGCGTCACAAAAACAATCATACCGCTGGACGTGATGGTAAAGGTCACAATATATAATGGGTTGATATCACAGATTTGACCAATTTCATCTTGCATGAGACGTTTTGTGTTCTGGGGTTAAAGATTTGATGCCACTGCTCAGGTCAGGTTTTGTCTCTTCAAAGAACCCTCATGAAGACCTGCCACGGTCTAAAATAGATCTATTTTACAAAGATTTTCTTAACACCCATCCGCAAAACATGTAATTAAGCAGCTTACCAGTGTCATGACCCCCATGCGCTCCATATCGCGGGCCGGGCTTCGGGGATCAAGTTTAGGGGTGGAGTGTCCGCTGGGCGGGGAGGAGGAGGCCAAGGAGGAGGCGGTGGCTGAGGCGGTGATGGAGGCTCCGTGGTGGTGCATTCGAGCCAGGTTGAGGCCCTCGAGGCTGACACTGGCCACCCGGTTCTCAATCTCCTCCGCCCGCAGCTCCGTCGACTCCTTCTCCTCCTGGATCAGCCTTTACGAGAGGAGAAGGGAGGACACGAGAGGAAAAGTCAGCAGTAAGTGTGCATCTTCAAGTCACATCATCATAAAGATTTTATAATAAGCAGCCTATATACAGTGACATATCTGTGATAACTTCCAGCTTGAAGATATGGACTCTTCATCAGCATCCCTGCTACAGAGTTTAGTGTTATCTTTGGAGGTGGATTTCTGGAGATTTGCCTCATAAATCCCATTAAATACCTACAGTATAAGGCAAACTAATTAAGGGCCAAAGTGAGAAGATAAAATGACGTAAAGTCAGATCATAAATTGGGTTTAACTTTGTAATTAGCTGAGAGCTCGACTCTTTGCATTCATGATCTCTATCTGCCATCAGATTTTAATGAACTCTTCCTGAAAGAAATGTGACACTGTGTCTATTGACAGGGATGTAAATCACCAAAAGCCATATTAACAACCCTTGAAATTAAGAACTGAGTGGAGTCGCGCCCGGGGTTATGAATACTTATCAGCACAAGATAATTACAGCTTTAAAAAGCAAGAGGCAGATCACATTTCCTGCAACATTTAGTGCATACGAGAACAGCGTTTGGCTCACAGACAGGAAGAGTGACCTGCAGACGTGCTGGAAAGACAACTGGATAGTTGTATGAGCAGTATGAGTAGTATCAGAGGTAGTGTATTAAGCCATATTTTAGGATATAGGAGGACATTCTGAGCGTCTAGAACATAGTGATAAAAAGGGCTTATGGGTGGATTATACGGAATAAAAAGGCAAAGCTTTCCAGGACATTATCTTAAAAACATATCAAGTGCTAACTTGATTTAGAGTCAAATGGATTAGGGACACAATAAGTAAAGGAAGGAAATCAATAGCTCTGGGAATCTGGCCTTTTTATATTTAATTAACACTGCACAGTGTGTCAGGTACCGAATCTCCTTGTTGATGGCGTCCAGCTGCTCCTGCAGCATCATGGCCAGAGTTTGTGCATCAGAGTGGCCGCTGGGCGAGAGCAGGTCCATGGAGCTAAACAACGTTTCCCTGTCGTCGTCATCGATGTCGGACATCTCCGTGTCGCTCTCGAAGTGGTGGCCTCCCAGAACCCCGAGCTGCTGCGAGCGCCATTCATGCTCCCCCAGCGACTTAGCCTGCACACAAAAACCGGGACAGAATATGAGGAGCAGATTATAAAACTTAGGAGGTTATACAGTCCCTGAACTATGACTTTTCTCAAAATGTTTGTCAGAGACTACATGTAAATGCACCCAAACTTAACCAACTACTACTACTTTGTCTCCTTTAATTCAAATTAAAAAGGGACACCATCCACCATTAGAACCATGTATTTGTTGTACAGTACACTGATATTTGCTGGATAAAATTCATTGAATCCTGGTAGAGGCTAGTCTGGACTCTTCCCCTCCCGTATGCTACGTTAAAAAGAGATGAGATGGACTGATCTAATTATTGAAACCGATTTTTACTCTCCTGGCGATAATATGTATGAGTGACTGAGATCATATCTCAACTTGCAGCTCACCTTGGTTTCATGCAGACCCAGTCTACCTCTCCTCGGTCGCCGGATAACCTTGGCTGAGCGGTAGTGGTCCGACTGGGTTTCAGCCAGAGATCCCAGCGAGAATCGGAGCTCAGTTGACGTGTCCAGATGAGACCTGAGAAACAACTTTCATGAGTAATGTTACACCTCATGTTACCTGGTGTGTGCCTACACTAACACATCTTCTGGGTCACTGATGTTGAAGATGGACAGCATCTTACACAAAGACTTTGCCTGAGCTATGAAGGAGATTACAAATATGGAGTTTAATCAGTCCCTTCACAAAAACATAAGTAGTTATTGTCTATATAAAATCCCTATATATATATATATATATATTTATATATATATATATATATATATATATATGTATTTATATATATATAAAAACAGATGCCACATCGCTAACATAGCAAGCATTCATAACTGAAACATATTTAATCATGCACGCCAAGACAGTTATTACTCACACTGCTAGACGATATGTTATGTTCATAGTACCTGCGGGTTTATGATGAACGGAGACTTCTGATTGGCTACCAATAATTCCCTGTTCAACAATAAATTTATGAATGTGACCAACATCCCAAATGTTTTTGTACCAATACTAATAAATACTTTTAAAATTATTACATTTATTTAAAACAAGAGATATGTGTGTGTGCATAAGAAATACATTTGAGAACCATATATTTTATTTGTGGATTTGTTTTGCACTTATATACTTTGTGTGTGCATTGAACATATTTATGTGGACAGGCATCAGGAAATACATTTGTGAATCCTTCTATGTGCATTCAATATTGACTCCATATTGATACAGATGAGACACAACAAAAATGATATGGTAAAGTTGACAGGAATGCAGAGAGTAAACCAATCAAATCTTGTGTTTGGGTACCTCAAGCGTACCTAATAGTCACAATGATGTGGTGTTAAGTGTACTTCTTGAAGGACCAGCGTTCATTATGCATGCCTCTATGGCTGCAAATTGTTTGTCTATGGAGGAGATTAAGGCTGCTACAGTCAACACATCAGAACTGTATTATTAGAACTTCATGCAGCATGAAAAGGAAGCCAGAAAACATCCAAGAATAGATATGGAGAGTTCAGCGGTACTAGTGTTTCTAACAATAGTGCAGAGCAAATTGTTTCATCGGTGACAGATAAAATAACAGGACTGCTACTGGAGAGAGTATATCTGCTTTCCAGCATTTTATGTGCGTCCTGTTACTTACACAAACTTTGGTTAGATCGGTTATACTTTCATCAAATGTCATCCGATAAAGTAATGGAGACGCTTCCTTGATTATAGCTATGTGAAGAATCTATAAAACATAACGTCTTCTTTTTCTTGAGTCTACTTCTCGACTCTGGGATAGTTTGAGTCTGAGTCCAAATACTGACGAATGTTTGAACTCAGACCCCATCTTGGTTTCATGCAGTTACTTTATTGAGTGTGCTCCAGAACTCCAGTGAACTGAATCCAACTTTAGTTTGGACCCATATCTTAGAAGCACCAGACTGGTTAAAACTTGCCTTTCTTTGTAAATATTGGTTTGTCAATTGAATGGCTAAATCATGCATAATGTATTGCAGATTGTCCCGGGGCAGTAAATAAGTGCAGCAGATGCTAATGTATGTAGCCATGAAGTGTATATTTAAGTTCCCTTTCACAAAATATTCTGCTTTAAAATGTGTCAAATGGAGACTGTGTTCTCATCAAGGAGCTCATGTTAGATTAATTAACGAGCTACATTTCAGCTGGCAAATTCATCGGTAGCCGGCTAGAAATGAGTAGTCAGTTTTTGTCAATCAAGGACCCATTATTTCAAAGACTAAAAAAAATAATACAAAAATGTGTTTGGAGTTGTATATATGACCCCTGTTAGCAATAACAAAAAGCTTGAGGGGGATTTAAAAAGTTCAAAGGTCAGTGGCGAATTTCAGGGTCCAGTGTTCTTAAGTCATATATGGCTTCAGTGTTAAAATATAACAGGCCAGCAAAAAACTCATAAAGACAAACCTTAATATACACACACACACACACACACACACACACACACACACACACACACACAC